CTTGCATGTATTATGATGAAATTAATCATCATATTTAATAAAAATATTTTTAAAAGTTTAAAAAATTTTAATAAATAAAAATATATTTTTAAAATTTTAATTAAAACAAAAATAAAATATTTTTATGAACCGGCCAGTTCTTTCCAAACAGGACCGGTTCAATGGTTCACCGGTTGAACTGACGGTTTGATCCGGTTCTATGCAGAGCTGGTTCTCAAGCTGGATTGGACCGGCCACCAGACCGGTTCACGGTTGAACCGGCCGGTCCGGTCCGGTTTTCAAAACCTTGGTTATTACAATTACTTGTAATGATAAATTTATTTATTGCATCTCTTTATAAAAAAATTTGAATTAATAAAATAATATTTACAATTTTATAATATTACTTAATTATTTAAATTTTATTAACATGCATTTAATGCATGTGTAATTATCATTAAATTTATATTACGTGCAAAATATTTAAAATAAGGATCTGTAACAACTATTATAATTATGATATATCTCTCTTACTGGAAATATTCTCTATTATTTTTCATATGAAATGAAAAAGCAGCGGGCTTCGATCATTCTTAAACCTTACCTGCCATGAAATCGTTCGTCATCTTGGAGAGACCCCTCCTGACGGTGATATTGCCCTCTTTGTGGGTTAAATCTCCTCACCGCTTCTCCTCTTTGAAGCCGGAGATCTTTCTTCTCCTTTACGATCCTCTCGTACTCCTCCCTTATCTTTTGAATCCGATCGGCGAAATCTCGCCGATCAAATTCCCTCCAACACTTTCCCCTGCGATCAATCGGGGTTTCGGAGAGTGTCTCGTAGGTTCGGAACTCGTCATAAACGTCTTCGGCGTCGAAGGCGACAGCTTTGAGGTCACGGAGCCAGCGAAGTACGCTATCATCTTCGATGTACCGTCGCTCTTCGGCGTCGCTGAGAAGAGCCAATATACGTTCCCGCGTACTATTGAGCTTCTGGAGGTCCGATTCCACGGCTTGAAGCCTCGCTTCCTCTGCTCGCCGGTTGGAATAGATGCCAGAAAACTTATCGATGGCTATTTCGATTATCTTTCCCCCGACGACATCGACGACTCGTTCCATCTGTGAGTTGTTCGCAGAAAGGAGAACAGACGGGTAGATCTGGAAAAATCAGCTCTACTGGCAAAGTGAAGAGGAAAGAAGAGTAGGCGATAAAAAGAGGAAGTATGAGGAACGGAGGAGGAACCCCCAAATTGACTTGGCTTGACTTAACGTCTTGTTCTCCTGTAAGGAGTATATATTTTTTTATACATATTAAAAAAACTAAAAAGAAGTAGATAATCGCTATTGATTTATTGGCATTTCAACAGTTAATGATACCATTTTTATTTTTATTTTATTTTTTTTTTCACACAAGGAATCTTCTTTCCAGCTAATAAAGTTCAAAATAAAATTTCGAGCAGGCTTTTATTTTTTTGTGGGACTTACTATCTCCCACTTGCTTTATGCTGACGATCTACTCATTTTTGGGAAAGCCAACTCCCAGAATGCCATCAAACTAAGAAACATTCTTAGCTTTTTTGGGTCCTGTTTTGGACTTCATATTAATTATGCTAAAAGCGACACAACTCTCCTTGGCTTATTGGTTGAGAGCTTAGGCTTCCAACTAAGAGGTCCAAGGTTCGAGTCTATGTGTATGCGTTGTATGTGTGAGTTTGCCTTAAATGGCCTAAATGTCCCAAAAAAAAAACTATGCTAAAAGCTTCATCTTGTTCTCCAAGAATGTTGCTGAGGAGGACTCTATCTGCTCTATTCTCAATGTCCCTACCACCAATGCTCCCTTTAGGTATCTGAGACTTCCTATTTTCACTAAAAAGGTCCATAAGAATGATTTTCAAAGCTTGATGCAAAAACTGTATTGTCATCTGGATGGATGGAAAGTTAAGACCCTCTCTTTAGCTGTTAGAATACAATTCATTAAATTTACTATCTCCAATACTTTGGCTTATTGGATTAGAGGAGTTATAGTCCCCAAATCGTGTTGTAAAAGCATTAATAGCTTAAGCTCTAGATTCTTATTTTTTGGGAACGTTCACAAGAAAAAACTCCATTTACTTTTATGGAAAGAAACCTGCAAGCCCAAACCGTTTGGTGGCCTTGGGATACCTAGTATTGAATCTCTCTATCATGCTTTTGGGTGTTCCATGATTTGGAGATTTTTTACTTCTAGTAGTTTATTGTCTCACTGGTGGAAGCTTAAATATATGTCCCTGTGGAACACGGATACCAACAGGAAATCGGCTTATTGGAATTTTCTTTGTGAGGTAGCTATAAAGATTAAAAGTGTTATTAAGCTTACTATCCAAGGAGATTCTTCCCTTGCTTTTTTATGGGATCCATGATGTAAAGGGAAATCGGTTATGGATTTGCTTATTGGTGTTAATATGGAGCATATTGGGTATAATTTCTCTAGAAAACTGGTTGGTAATTTCCTTTTTGAAGGGACCTAGCAGCTTCCTGCCTACCTTCCTGATTCGGTCTCTGCTGACATTATGTCTACCTAGGTGAATACGAGCAACTATTACTATCGTTGGAATGACTTAGATAAACCCGTTTTTAAGAATTTTTTGTATCATTTTTATGATAACTACCCCAAAGTGGATTGACATTATTTTATTTGGCATAAAAACCATGCAATATGGTACTCGGCTTTTGCCTGGATAGCTATTAAACGTGGTCTCAAAACTTCTGATTTGCTTATTAAAAGAGGAATTCTGACTGCCTCTACTTGCATTCTTTGTTCTGCTGAACCTGAATCTCACTCTCATATGTTCTTCGAATGCGATTTTTCTTATGATATACTGAAAATTATCATTCCACATTCTGATTTCTTACTGCAGAGACTGATACTTCACCAGTTATTTTTACATCTTGAAGAAAGGAACACCTGCGGCAAATGAAAAACTATTACTTTATTATGACTTGCACTACTACTTATTTCATTTGGAGGGAAATGAATGATAGGCTTTTTGGCAACACCTTTAAGAATCACTTGAACATTGTGGATAAAATTAAGAAAGCTGTCATATTTAAGACTTCAAAATGGAAGAGTTTACACCTATTTCAACATTTATTATGCTGAATGATCTTTATTGCCTCTCTTGGTTCGATTCAGCTTTGTTTTGCTGGGCTACTTCCAATCCGATTTTTTGGCCTGCTATTCTCTCTATTGATTATTCTGATACCCTTTTTTTTTGAAGAAAAAAAAAAAAAGATGAAGCTGATACCCTTTATTGGCAACCAAGGTATCATCAAGATGCAAGGTTCTAACATAGTTGTTTTGATGGACAATGATGAATGCTAGTCCCCACCATCTGCTCCTTTGGAAGGTCGTCTTGGCAACCAGGAGGTCTTGATGCTCATTTTTCTGTGGGAGGTTCCGTTTTGGGCATTCTGAGTCCATAGCCTTGTTTCCCCTCTTTTTCCCTTTTCCCTTTTTTCAAGTATTATTTTTTCTCACAGCTATTATTTTTTTTCCCTCTTTAGCTGGTGAGATTGTTGTTTTTCAGCTTTTACTTGTAATCTCTTTCATTTTATAGAATGGGCTTTACGCCCCAAATTTTCCCCAAAAAAAAAAAAAGCAGGCTTTTATTTCAAATTAGCTTTCATCCTGCTTTGATTTCTAGGTCATAATAATATTTTTTATTATTTTTAATAAATTTATATATAAGAAACAATTTTTTTTTTAATAATTCTAAAAAATTTATTTTTCCTACTTACAATTTTATAACTAATTTTAAAAATTTAGCAATTATTATCACTATTAAACAAATCATAGTATTTTTGTCTTAACTAATAGAGGCCAAAGCAAGCTAAAAACCCTAACCATATTTTTAGTGATCCATTTTGGACTACTACAACTTTTGTAAATGTCGTTAATAAAGTTGTGGAGAGGAGTATTTTTTTTATTAAACATTATTGCAAAAATGCTTTTCAAGTTAATATATATATATATATAATATTATATATATATATAATATATATATATATATATATATATTATATATATATATATATATATATAAAAGATGGCCAAATAAAAATTATGATTATGTCTCTTCTATTAACCAAGGCCACGTTCATAGTCCCTCTTCAAAAGGAGTTTGCTTAATTGTCGAAGGAGGTGTGGTCCTAAGGGATAAAAGAACTAAGAGCAAGATTTATGCTCACTTTCCTTTTATGCCTCAACTTTCCTTCCAAATCCGCTTTCACCTCTACCCACTCAGGTGAATTTGAGTTGAATTAACCTGGCTTTGACAAAAGTCTTTGATTTTTTTCGTCAAAGAATTACGGCTTATTATCAATATGATATAATCGCCAATAACAATCTGTATCAACAAATAATAGTTGATAATCAAAGCTCACAACTAATAGACTACGGCTTCGTTTGAGACGGCTTTCTTACTGTTTCCTAGAAATCTGTTTTAAGAAACAGTAAGAAAGTCATCCCAAACGAAGCCTAAGAAGAACTGCATACAACTGAACCTTCAAGTAGCTGCCACAAACTTTCATTCAAGTGATTTACAGACATCAATTGAAAGAAACATATTATTTTAGTCCATCACAACATTCAAGTGACAAAAAAGTTCTTCAACAACTAAGTAAAAAAAATAACAAAGCTACATGGACATATTCTAAAATATTAATCTGCAAACAGTTGGGTGCACTAGTGGCCACCTGAATCATATAGCACCAATGACTTGACAGAGTCACAGGTGAGTGAGGGCAATCAAGAAGTTAAATTTCTACCACAATGTGCAGGCTTCCTTTGGTCATTCCAAAATGATCTGATTCATTTATTGTTTTCATCAGTAACTTGATTTCTGGTCTTCAACGAAAAGCAGGAGACTTCATGTACCTATTTAATTAAAAACTTCGGCTTTGTTTGGGACGGTTTTATTATCGTTTCTTAAAACAACTTTTTAGTATAAAAATTTAAATTTTGTATTAAAAAGCTGATTTAAGAAGCAGTAGGAAAACCGTCCCAAAAAAGCCTTCATCTGTACCATGTGACCAGGGCTTTTCACTGCCGCCTTCTTTTCCATGGCTGGAACAAATTCTTCATAGTCTGCAAAGTTGAAAAGATTAGGAATAAAGATCTTTATCACTTGTTGTAGGATATGTCATATTTCACAGTAGCCTTAATGTTCCTACTTTTTAAACATCAATCAGCAATAAACAATTAACTTCAGGTCAGGATGCTCACGATAGCCCCCACATTATCTTTCAAATTTTGCATATAGATTTGGATCTTAGAATCTTCCATGGTGCAGTAACAAAGTTATCATTTTTCATTATCATTTACCAAAATATTAGTCAACAAAAAGATGATTGAATGGTTAGAATAAAAAATACCAATTATCATCTATTTGCCACCACTAATAAAACTTTGCTTTTCCAGTCCAAATTTGGTATTTTTTTCACAGCTTATAGAAAATAATAAATGAAATATACATACAACAAAGTAAATTAAAAAAAGGACAAAACATTGATACGTAACTATTCCTTAAAAATTGCATGTTGCATTCATTAATAAAAGGAAAAGGAGTACAAAAGCAATATGGAACTGGAATCTATGTCTTCCCAAATCAAAAAACAAAAGGGGAAAGAGCTACTCATAAAAATATAACCATCCATACATGTATGACGCCCAAAAAAGAAAGCAAGAAAAATAGCAAAGAAGAGCTCATTTGATTTGCAATAAGGGGACTCCCAAGCGCATGCCCCAGGGATTAGTATGATAATCAAAGAACCACTCCAGACGGAGGGGGATACCGAAGGAAGGGTTGATATGGAAGTGGTAGGATTGTAAGGGAAGACAAAAGCTCAAACTCAAATGTATAAATGTAAAAGGACTCATATAAACAGATAAATAAGTAAAACATATAACTAACATACCTGAAAACATGAGAATGGTTGCCTAGGATCTTGGTCGACTTGAATATGGGGTATATGTTGTATGTTAGGCCAATCAACGCCATTCTCTTCGCACCGTCTTCTTAGCATAGAACATTCTTTGATTACCAACGTTTTCACACCATCAGGTAATTTGGGAATAGAGGCAAGCGACACTGAGTGAATCTCCACAACATGAAGCGAAGACAAAAGATGCAGTTCATGTGGTAGTGACTCCAACATAGGGCAGAGATAAATGCGAAATTCCTTGAGATTTTTTGGGAGATCGATCTTTGTAAGTTGAGAGCAAGAATAAATCTCTAGATATTCTAGAGAAGAATGATTTGTCAATCCATCAATGGAATCAAGATCATTACATTCCTGAACTTTCAAATTTTTAAGAGAAGACAGACATTCGAAAAGTCCTGTGCACTCATCTTGAATTACTGAGAGTTTTGAAAGAGTTAATGAGGTAAGAGAGGTGAGCTGCTGAACCCATCTGAGCCTTGATCCTCTGTCATTTTCCAGCAGTAAATCCTGTAGGTTTAGGAGAATACTACTAACAGAAAATTTTTGACAGTTCCTCAATTCAAACGTTGCAATGCTAGATGGGAGGTATGACGGCCATTCCAAATTGGGACAATCAGAAACGGACAGAGCAGTAAGGCAACTCATCAGACCTGCTCCTATAAACCAGCTTTCCAGATTAGGCATATCAGACAAATCAAGTGTTTCTAAATTTTTAAACCCTGAAAGAGTATTGCCTAAGTTTTTCACTCCATGCAGACTCTTTAAATGGAGAGTCCTCAGTGAAGGCAGATTCCACACAGATGGGAGAGAAGAACAGAGTTTACAATTGATTAGTTCCAATTTTTCTAACTTCAGGAAAGATGGATTTCCAATCCAATTTGGAAATTCCTTTCCATTGTAATTTTCTACACACAAATGCTTGAGATTCTCATCAGGCTGGAGTCGATCAATCACATCTTCTTCAGGCAAATTTTTTGATTTTGTGGATGCAACATCACTCCATCTCAACATCAAAGAATCAATGTACCGTTTGCCACTTAAATTGGCTGCCTCTGCATCATTGACACTAACTACATTTTCAAGTCTAGTGATGCAAAGTTTGCCACGGAGGTTTAAGTCCTTCAATTCTCCTAATAAGCCACACTCGGGCTTTGATCCCACAGCAAATCTTGACAAGTGTCTTAATAATTTTAAACATCCAATACCAGGCGGCATGGAAATGATATCAATTTGTCGATCCCAACTATCCCAATCAAGCTGCAAACCAATATGTCGCAGGTGAACTAAGTTTTTCAGGCCTTTTGGTAACATTTCTAGCTTGTAACAGTTTCCAAGTTCTAAGGTTCGCAAATTCAAAAGATTGCTTACAGTTTCAGGTAGCATCCGTATGCTGGTACTATGAAGTCCAAGGTGCCTGAGAAATTTTAAATCACCAATGGAATCTGGCAATTCATGAATTTGAATGCAATTGCCTAGTTGCAATGTCTGAAGATGGTACAATTTGCCTATTGTCTCAGGTAATCTTCTTATGTTTGTGCCATGCAGACTAAGGTAACGTAGAAGAATCAAATTGCAAACAGAATCTGGAAGATCCTCAAGACAGCTGCTACTCAAATCCAGTAAGCGTAGAAACCTTAGTTTTTCAAATAGATCTATTAAGTCGTCCTTCAGGAGTTCCCCATTTTTACCATACAGCATGAGTGCTCGAAGACCTTTGTTCTTAAACATCTCATTAAATTTTACCGACTGCTTATCAGGTTGATATAATAATCCATAGCGAGCCATTCCTGATTCGCCATGTATAGTGTCATCCTGATTTACTCTTATACTTTCATGTCTGATATAAAGAAGATGCACTACTTCATGGATCAATGATGGCATCTTGTACTTTCTACTACCATTAATATTACTATCAGATGCTTGGAAGAATGATCGCTTCAGCAGATTATCAAAGTATCTTTCACCAAGATCTTCAAATTGCATGCTTCCTTTCCTCTTGCTCTTTATTAACTTCGCAGCCATCCATAGCCTGACTAACTCATCCTTATCAAATTCATAATCTTTTGGGAATGTGGAAGAGAAGGCAAAACATTGTTTAAGCTTTAAAGGCAGATGATCATAACTGATCTTTAAACTTTGTATAATAGCTTCTGCAGCTTCCTCATTTTCCAACAATTCGTCTGATAGCAGCTGCCACTGGTCTGGATTTGTTTCAGAGCACAAAAGGCTACTTATAGCTTTTATTGCTAATGGAAAACCATGGCACTTCTTCACAATATCTCTACCAATAGCTTCCAGTTCTGAGTCCTCTGTGAATACAAGATCCTGAAAGAGCCGCCAACCATCATCAGAAGATAGACCTCGTAAACGTAATGCATATTCAGTTTGCATTCTATTTGCAACGTCTTCATTCTGCGTGGTAACTAGAATTTTGCTTCCTTCTGCTGCAAACATCAAAGGGGTTCGTAGCTTCTCCAAAAAGTCAAAATCTGTACTCCACATGTTATCCAGAACCAGTAGGAATCTTTTGTTTGAAATAATACGCTTAAGATGATGTTGAAGCAAATCTAAAGTGGAATCATGGCACTCATTTCCCTCCTGTACTGCTTTGATCACCTCCTTTATAGTTCTGATCAGGTCATAGTTCTCGGACAGACTAACCCAAATCCTCGGATTAAAATGATTTTCAATTCGAGCATCCTTAAGGATATTGCGAGCAAGTGAAGTCTTACCAGACCCACAACAACCCACAATAGAGATTACTTGAACCCCATCGCCGCCCTTCAATTTCAGCAATTCAGCAACAACTTCTTCTGTCTCTTTTTGCCTGCATGATCAAGAGGGTTTCAGTAGCTTTGTCAGCGATAAAATTAAGAATTTAGGAAGAATGGTATTGGTTACAGCACTTGGCACAAATTTTTCGTGAGGTAATAAATGAATTCATGGCATTAGAAAAGGTAAGATGCAAATTAATGATTAGAAAAAAAATTTGGAAAATTTGAGAGTCGAGCACCACAATCAATGCAATAAAAATGCAGCTCGCTTCTATCATTCTTAACCATTACCTGTGATGAATTCTTGAAATAGGAAGAAGGCGGGAAAAACAGAGAGACACAGGAAAATAGAAATTGTATGTATTCTGCATTTGGCGTACAGGAGAGAGCATATATATAGACAATTACAGAAGTTAATTACAATTAAGGACAAGTGCTGAAGTACAGTTTAGTGCTTTAATATCCCCTCTCAAATTAAGCATTCCTTGAGTGAATGGTTAATTTGGATCGTAAAGTAGTAAATTGAGTTGTAGATAGTGATTTGGTTAGAATATCCGCGATTTGATCGTTGGTGGAGATGTGCTCAATTTGAATTGCACCTTGGATGTCGAAGGCGACGGCGTTAAGGTCACGGAGCCAGCAATGGACGCTGTCGTCTTCGATGTAACGACGCTGTTCGGCATCGCTGTCAAGGGCCCTGATCCGTTTCCTAGTTCTTTTGAGTTTCATGAGATCCGATTCCACGGCTTCAATCCTTGCTTTCTCTCCTTCCCGCTTGGAGATGATGCCGACAATTTTGTTGGCAGCTATTTCGGATGCCTTTTCGAAGATGAATTTGATGATAGCCTTCCCAAAGTCTTTCAGCAAGTTGTAGGTAAACTCCATGGCTGAGCAGCTTGCAGGAAGGACAAGAGAGGACTGGAACTAGAGACTAATGGCTCTACTCGAGGAGCGGAGGGTGATGAAATTATTACGTGGAAGAAACGCGGGTTGACTTGACTTGCACATAGTCAAATACTAGTGCTTGCTACTTCAACTACATCAATTATACACAATTCTCTTTGGCCTATTGGTTGAGAGTTTAGGCTTCCAATTAAGAGGTCCAAGGTTCGAGTCTATGTGTATGCGTTGTGTGTATGAATTTGCCTTAAATTACTTAAATGTCCCAAAAAAAAAACTACATCAATTATCATTAAAAATATGTTTTGGTTGAGATTTAATAAGTTAATTTAAAATAAAAAATAATTAAATAAAATACTATTTGAATAAATTATTTTGAATTGATAAAATATAAATACGTACCATATATTTTTTAATGATTCTCTTTTTATATTGATGTTATTCAGAGTATATGTATCATTGACTATTTAGTCAAATGCGAAGAGATAAAAGATAGATTAAACACTTCCAACTATATATCCACATTACCACTGATATTATCTACATATATAGTCACTAAGTGTATTAAATGAAGATCTGTTATATTGAAAATATCATAAAATTATTGATGAAGAAAAAACTCATTAATACTTCATATTTCATTTACACAATTAATAAAAAATTAGAGAATTTAGTCATACATGAAGAACAAGTGAAGCATATTCATTTTCATTAATTACACAAAAGAAAGAAAGTACAAAAAAAGATATCACCGGATGGGTTCAATGACCTCCTCTACACTTTTCATTGAACTTACAGAATTGATTCCACAAACACAAGCTAAACACTGTGATAAATGTATCTAGTACTTCTCGGATTTCCCTTAATTGTCACTCATAAGAAAAAAACCAAAGAAGCACTATAAGACTGAAATTAAACAAGTAATTAAACTCTTCTACTAACATTACAAACAAATAATTATAAAAAATATATATAGAAAATGAATTCTAGTGTCGCAGCGCTCGAGCACTTGCATTGTGGCGCCCATAAAATGAACTAAAACCTCAACATTAAAATATTTCCTCCACAACGGCACTTGACGACATGAATCCGTTGTTTAATGAATCTACGTGTCGCTTTGCTAGTAGATCGTGTCCTAAACAATTACAACTGTAGCGCCGCAACGCTGCTAATGATTGACCACTGTGATGCCCACGTATTAATGAATCTAAGTATGTGGTTGAATTATTACTTCACAAGGAAAACTTCTTGAAAATGTATTTAATCTCTCTGCAATAGGTTATAGAAGCAGATTTTGACTATTCATTATGCTGCATTAGACGAATCCTTGGATCCGCCCCTGCCAACGAATAGACCCATAGAGTGTAGACCTACTAAGTGACGAGGGTAGACCTATTGAGTGATGAGTAATCCTTGACCCTTGACAAATGCAGCTCGCCTTCGATGAGTGCACCAAATTCCTCGTTCAAGAAAATTTGAGCTCGAGGCCATTGGCATATTCAGATATCGACATTAAACACTATACAATCCATTATATTCATGGTATATTAACTCAAGCTAATGAAATACTACACTTACTATCTCTATTTTTTTCATAAATATAAACATATATTTAATATTAATATATAAACAAAATCAATTTAAAATATTATTGTTTTACATCTCTTAAAATGTATTAAAAGTCCAAACAGCCAAATGTGCGTAAAACTGAAAAAAGGGCACTGAGGAATAATTAATATTAATATTTGGGTCAAATTAATTATATATTTAAGTATATCATAAATTATACATAAAAAATTTGATAGGTGCATGTGATCATAATATTTTTATGTACAACAATTATATATATAGTTTGAGGCTAAATGAATTTATTTAAATAAAATATGAGAAACTAATTCATAATTAAGAAATAATTGATGACTTAACATAGTGTAAGAGTAATAAAAAATTTTACTGAATTTTCCTTTAAAATATATATATTTTAAGTCTAATATGAAAAAAAAGTATATATTTAATACATTTATATTAGAGATTATAATTTTATTATATATTTATGAAATTTATAATACAATGTGTTTTATAATGTTATAATTAATATTACTCTTATATACTTAAGTCAATTTATATATTATGAGTATTTTAATATGTTTAATTATATTATCTAATAATTAAATTATATTTTATCTTTTTTTTTATATTTTAATTTTTTTCTAAAGATTTCATATAATTCATTGATTTTAAAAAAAAATTAAAAGATTTATCTCTCATTTTTTTCTAGTTGGGGATTTTTATTAAAAAATATTACAACTTAGATTTATTTATTAAAATTAAAATTATTCTTATTTATAACAAATATATATATTCAAATTAAAATAGGAATATTAAACATATGAAATATCTTTCATATAAAATATTATTAGCTGGTATTTGCAATGGCAAGCAGGAGTATAGTATTATTTTAAAAATCAGTACAGACTATGTAAACATAGATTCTGTCTTAGTATGAATTCAATGAAATTTTCAGTTTTCTCAAATAACATATTTTCTTTAGGAATAAATATGTTAATCTAGGAAATTAAATTCTTAAAATCACAAATAGTGTCATGTAACATCTTCAACACCAAACTTCTGTTTCCACAATAAATTACTTTTTTTTTTAACCAAGAAAACATTGAACACATACTTAGAATGCATTAATATGTTATCCATTATGATTATTGAGCAAGCCATAAGATTCTTAGTGGATGATCGGCAAGTTCAACAGTCGCCCAGCAGAATTGCACGATGATGATTGGCCAACAAAAGTAGCGGTGTGATGGCCGACTGATGAAGCTCTTGGTGTGGCTCATCGGATTTCGTCTCATCAAGTATACTAATCAATTATAAAACTTACCCAAATTTGGAGATAAATCATTTAGTCATCTAAATATCTTTTGAAGTTCTCAATGTATACTTTCAAACCATGATTTAGCTCAGTTTAAACTTCAAATGGATCATTTTTTTTTTGTTCTCTAGGTTTTTTATGCGTCCACAGGTTAGTTGAACTTGTTAAGTTTGCTAGAAATTGAAGTTCAAATTGACCTTATGTAAAATTAATTTTTAATTTCAATTCAAATTAAGTAAGAGATTCATGGTAACGTCATACATTCTTTTTTTTTTTTATGTATGCATTCCTAATTTCTTCGTTATTTTTAAAATTTATGATTTTTTGTTAGGTTAGAAAAAAAAAATTATAAGTTTTAATAAATAAAAAAAATGATGAAAATATATATCTATATCTATACTATCTATTATAAAAGTGACTTGAGTTTCCACCCATATTCAATCCTGGCCTTTTATTTTTTTTCTTCAAATATTATCCTAACCCTTCATTTTATTATAAATAATTAATAAATTTGAAAACATAAAATAATTATTTAAAGAGTGCATTAATTACAAATAGTGGTTATTAGATTCAATTTTCCTCTTACAAGTTACAAGAAAAAAAAAATTAACAGCTCGATTTATAACCTTTCATATTCCAAACTATAACATTCTCGCATCCAATCCAAGGCATGAGAAAAGACAGGGAGATGTCTCTTCAAGTTCCAGTATAAATGACAACTTCAAATCTATACTGCTATTATAAAAATCATTTGAGTTTCTTCCGAAACATAATCCTAGCCTTTCATTAATTTTATTTATCAAACATAAATTTCAACAATTCATTTTCCACATTAAATCTTGGCATCTTTACTTTTCATTGTATTTCTATTTTTCTTTTTTTTGTTTCTCTGTGGTGTTTTACTTCTACCCCAACAATGAGCTTGCATCGAGCTTATCTACAATGACATCCCTGGGAACATGCGTCAAAGTGGATAGGCTTTTTGTGAGGACAAACTGAAATTCCCTCAAGATATTGCAAATGAGAGTTTCCCCAAGCTCAATTTGTCCTGCAAGGCTTTCTTATTTTTCTTAAAGTAGTTTTCTAGAACAAAAGTTTTAATTTTTGTACTAAAAAGTTGCTACAGGAAGCAGTAACAAAGCCATCCCAAACGAAGCCTAAGACTTCGGTTGGGGCAACTTTCTTATTGTTTCTTAAAGCAGTTTTAGTACAAAATTTTTAATTTTTAAATTAAAAAACTGTTTTAAGAAATAGTAAAAAAATTGTCTCAAATAAAGTCAGAATTGCAAGAAGATAAGTAGATAACTATAACATCATAATTGAAGTTTGTAGACAAACTCAACCTCCCTCACTATATGTAAGCAACATCTTGGTTTTGGCACCATTGTTGTAGTTGTGGGCATGCACTGATTTCAACATTGTTGGGATTCAACATATCTGGAAGCAATTCATCATCGAGACAAAGTTGAGGACATTTGCTTATTTTCAAGAAATGGAGGGAGGCTTGCTTTCTCAATCCTCTTAAGAATTTCAGATCTGAACAACTAGAAATCTCAAGTGAAGATAGATTCGTTTCATTGATGTCGAGAGTTTCAAGCTTGTAACATCTATCGATGGCCAAGTACTGAAGGTTTTCAGGAAACCCAATAATTAAAACAAGGTTTGGGCAGTTGCTTATATCCATGTCTTGCAGAGTGATGATTTTATGTAGCCCAACAAGTTCTTCGAGATGGGAGCAGTCCCATACTCTCATTTGCTTTAGTCTATTGAAGGTTTCATTCCATCTGATACACTTCAAATGAATAGAGGAGCAAATGTAGAAGCCCACAATTCGAAAAGCAGGCCATTTTTCTATTTGAAGAATAGCTCCATTGTAGTTCAAAACACATATGTTTTCAAAGAATGAATATGCTTCCTCAAGCCATAACTTGATCTGCTCACCACAATGAACAAATAGGTCTTTGGGGAACTCCTACAGGTTTAGAATTAAAATGCATTAGTAATGACAATTTGACAAATTAACAAAACATAATCGATCCATTGTAGTAACTTTCTCACCTTATTGTTGTAGGGTATGTTACATCTTTGACACCAGTCGATGAGCTTTAGACAATTAGAAAGTTCTAGCTGAACATGAAGCATGAAGGGAAGTTGTTCAGGTGGTGGGAGAACAAGCTCAAAACAATCAAATAGCTTTAGTTTTGTAAGGGAGAAAAGTTGTTCCAGCCCAGGCAAGCATAAGAGGCTGGGGCAGTTGCTTATGTGCAAGAACTGAAGCTTGTATGGCAAACTGTGATCTGGTGATTGGGAGAATTGAGGGCAATCAATTATCACTAATTTTTCAAGGGATTCCATCATCACTAGTCCAGGCAGACATGTTAGAGCCGTGCAATGCCATATTTTCAAGAGCTTTAGTGCAGACAAATTTTTGTATGGAGGAAAGAAGATCAGACTTTGACATGAATACAGATGCAAGGTATGCAAACTGCATGGAATCCATTCATCTTTGGGGAAATCACTTTCATTAGACTGATAGATATGTAAAGTTTTCAAGGAGATAAGATTCTCTGAGCCATAGCGTGATATTATCCCTCTGGCGTATCTTATGGTCATCTCCTCCTGCTTAGATAATCTCTGTTGTAGTGAAACAATGACATAGATCCTCTTTTAAAATATAGGAAACAAAAAATAAAGGATTTATGAATAGATAATGTTCATGGATAAAAGATTTGTGCAAAAAATGAAAGTCATGAAATTTGTGGTATGATTTCAATTATGCTATTATTTGATTATTGTTTTATATATTCCCCTCATTTTTTATGTTCATCTAGTACAAGCTATGATATCAAAATAAAAGCAAAGAACTTGAGGACTGATAAAGCATACCTGAATAATTTTGAATCCATATCTTTGACACCACTCTTCTAATCCAGGGCAATCAGCAATCTCCAAAACACTAGGCATGATTGAAAGCTTTTCTTCTAAAGGGAGTCTAAGTTTCGGACATAATTGTAGCTTCAATTCCTCAAGTGAACAAAGGTCTTGCAGGCCTGTTATTGATGTCAACTTCCAACAATTTTGGATCCATAGAAACTGCAACTTGGAAGGAAGTCTCTCCTTTGCAGAGATGAAGAATTTATAACACTCTATTATTTCTAACTTTTCAAGTCTATTCAAACTGTATAGCCCATGCAATGTTGTTATTTCAGAGCATTGTCTGACAACCTGTCTTCTAAATGAGGATGATTGTACTATTTTTATATCTTTTACCTTAGCACAATTAATGATGGAAATACTTTGAAGACATGGGAGATGTCTATCTAGCACTCGACCTGATCCATCCCATTCATTACAGTTTTCAAGGGTTATATCTCGTAACTTAGACCATGCGGGATCTCCAACCCACCACGGGAACCGTATCCCAGGGTAACCATCTATCTCTAATTCTTTGAGGTTTTTGTGAGGCTGCAATGCATCAAGCTTGGCCTCTACCAGTTCAAAAGTTTGTTTCTCAAATACCAAAGGTTTAGTAATAAATATGTAAACATCAAATGAATGTTTAGGTACATTCCTATAATACCAATCTATTAATAGTCCCCAAATGTGCTTCTTTCCAATAATATTTGTCTTCTTGAGACCCTTAACATCATGTGCATTATATATATTATCGATACAACAGCTCCCTGTAAGGCTTTCTAAGTCTTCAATCTCACCTAGTCCACCACCTTCTAGGCTTTGCTCAATCACCCTTACATGTTTTAAAGTCTGGAGATTAGTTAACTTGCTTATCCCACATGGCATGATAGAATCATATGGTAGAATCAAATGGCGTAGGTTAATGAGGTTTTTTATGCTTGTTGGTAAATTTATAGATTGATCACATAAATTCAATTCCAGTACTTGCAAGTTATGAAAGCTATGTAATGAATTGAATAAACTTGAAAGAGGAGAGCCAAAATATAGATTCAGTGCATGAAAGATCCGAATAAAAAGATAGCGTAAATGCTTCAATGAGGCAATTGAACCAAGAAACTTTAACAAGTTTGAATCATACTTAAAAATATTGATATGCACTGCTCGCAAGCTTATTGAATCCAAAAGTTGAAATTCATTGATTATACTCTGGTTATAACAAAATATAGAACGAAGAGCAACATTCCTGCCAATAAATGGGTACACTGAAGTGCCTTTTAGTGCTTCTACTTTTGCTGATTGATCATATATAGCTAAGTGGCGAACATTATTTGATATGAATTTATTTTGGTTGCCACCCTCCAATTTCATTGTAATGAACTCATTGCCCGAAACAGAAACTGCCAGATAAAAAATCAAGTCATGCATGTTAAAAAAGTCATTGGATTTTGCTCCTTGAAGAAATGATCTCCCCAAGAGTTCATCAAAATACTCTCTTCCTACCTCCTCCATAGTCTTGCTTGTTTTTTTTGGTTGGATATAGCCTTGTGCCATCCACAACCATACTAGGCTATTCTTGTTAAGCATTCTATTTTTAGGAAATAGGGAACAATACCTAAAGCATGGTTTCAAATGAATAGGCATCCTTTGATAACTCAATCTAAGAGCGGGAAAATGTTCTTTTGTCCCAACATCCAAGTCCCAAAGCTCGCTTTCTAAGATGCTCATCCACTTATCTTCATCTCTTTCAAATCTGAGATGACTTCCAAGTAGTTTTATAGCCAAAGGCAATCCACCACATTTTTTTACGATTCTCTTGCCAATCTTCATTAGATTCTCATCATCACATAAAGCACATTGCTGGAACAAGTGCCAACCTTGCTCTTCAGAAAGAAAGCCTAAATGAAAGATGTTCATAGTCTGCATGACATCCGCAACCTTTTTATTTCGTGTTGTCAACAAAATATTCACAATGCCTGCATTGTGAAAGGGGACTTGGAGGGACTCCCATAGACAATGCTTCTCATTCCACACATCATCGAACACCAAAAATATTATTTTAAATTTCATGAGTTCTTTCTTTATAGAACTGTGAAGATAGTCGAATCCAACATTCTCCTCAGATGATTTGCCAGTTATAGATCTGTATATCTCTTTGGTTAATTTCATAAGGTCAAAATCCTCAAAAACATAAATCCATAAACAAAGATCAAAATACTGACGAATTCTAAGATCATGATATATGAGTTGGGCGAGCGTTGTCTTCCCCACACCCCCCATGCCAACTACTGGGATGACTGTAATTTTATTGTTCACTTGTAAGTCTGAGAGCAATAGCTTCACTATATTCTCTTTCTCACTTTCTCTCCCAATTATACTTGATTCATTGACAAGAGAGCTGGTAAGCTGAGAATTTTGTGCATTGACAGTTCGCCTCACGCCATCTTCCTCACTTAAATGGAGTCCCTTTCGGTCCCTTTCAATCTCATCGAATCTTTCCCGAATCTCCCTTAACTTCTCAACCATGCCTTCAGTTTATTGGAACTTGAGAAGATGATGAAGTTAATATATTAAGACCTTCCACCTGCTCATCCTGATCATAATGTTCATCTTCGCCTCGCTTATTCTTTCCACGATGATAATACTCTTCTACATCTCTGGCTTCCATCTGGATTGCCAACGCATCATACTCATACTCATCGATTACATCATCAATGTCATAAGCCAGGAGCCTGAGCTCTGAAAGCCATAACTTCACAGATCTATCTTGTATCTCCCTTTCCTCTGCATCTTCAAGCACTGCTTCGATCCTCGACATCATTCGCATTATCCTCTGGAAGTCATCTAGAGCACTACGTCGTGTAGGTTCTACTGATGAAGATGAAGATGAAGAACCATCCAAAGATGGCTCCTTGCCTCTCTCCGGAAGATCTAAAAGAGTCCACAACCTTGACTTTGCCCATCTGCTGAGCATTGCAATAGTATCGGCCATGGCTTCTTCCAAAGATTAGAATCAAATATCCCTGCCATCATTAAATTGTATAGTAAGATATAATAAATCTTCCATTATATTTTAAAGTTGTTAAATTACCTCTCTTGCAGCTGAAAGCAAACAGATCAAAAGCTAAAGCGGAACAAGTTTGATAAATATAGATTTTTTTATCAGATTCAGAAAACTATCAAACCATGATTAATCTGATTCTCGTTATTTTCTATGCTTGCAAAAAACAATTTAAAATCACAACTGAGAATTGAAGACCAAAAACAAATCAAAATCACAAATCATTTTGATCACAGTAGTACAGAAGAACTAGACGAGAACAAAATTACAACTGAACGCCAAGATGAACGAACTTACCTCAATAAATCATTGAGCAAGGAAGGCAACTCTTCAAAGCTCCAAAATTTTCTCAAGTATTTGATCTGATGAGGTCTGTGCAGTCAGTCTATAAGACCAAAATTTAAAAAAAAATTATTACATACAGCCAAAATCCAATCTATAGGTTTCGTTTGGGACGTCTTTCTTACTGCTTCTTAAAACAGCTTTTTAGTACAAAAATTAAATTTTTTGTTATTTTTTAACTAAGAAGCTGCTTTAAGAAGCAATAGGAAAATTATCACAAACAAAAATAAGTGTAGTAATAATATCAAAATTAGATGATTTTTAGCTTGCTGGATACGTCTTATCGAGATGTTTGATTTTATTATAAAAAAATACTTTTTAGAATCATTTAATCAACTAATTAATATTAAAATTTTATTATATTTTAAATATTTGATATCAGCTCATTTGTAATTCAGTGAAACAAACAAGAGTAGATAACGATATAATTTCCAATATGAATGAGCTTCCTGTGTTGTGAAAATGTTTTTTTTTTTGGTGAATAATGTTGTGAAAATGTTAATCCAATAAAATAAGAAACAAACGTAAGGAAATAATTTTTTTTTTTGGTGTGGGGAAAATGTTAGGGGCTTCTAACGGCCAAATTATTAGGTCCGGACATCGGATAGAAAGAATCATCCGAATTTTTCTTTGTCTATAGTCAAAGCGCAGTCAGAGCATAATCAAAGCGAAGCTGCTACAGCACATGCGTTTTGACTGTGCTTTCACTATAGGCAGAGAGAAATCTGAATGATTCTCTACATCAGGTGTCCGAAGATAATAATTTCTCCTTCTAACGGGAGCCACCGGGAGGAATTTCAACGTGTGTCGTGCCATTATCAATGACATGAGAAATGGTATGATGGCCTGCTGAATGCCATTAGAGATCACCTTTGTCACTACCATCAAACAATAATTTATGTCTTCTTCAGAAGAAATTATTTAGTGCCGCATTCGGATGAGAATAATTGTTTGGACTGTGAGTATATATATTATATGTATATAATATATATTGATTCGAAAGCATGGTTACTCATCATATCCGAGCCATTCTTTTTGTCCGTATGATGCACTAATCTTTTACGAAAGGAGTTCTTCTATCAAAAGAGGCCTTAGAAAGAGTCTTCTCCAAAAGGACCCAAGCTAATTAGAATAAAGTATAAATTAAATTCTCTTAAATTTACTTGGGATGCTTACATTGCATATTAATTTATTTTTCACATTAAAATATTTTGCTCGTTATTAAAAAAATAAATTCTATAAATAATTTTTTGTGTGACAGCATTAAAAGAAAATTACTTAGTAGATGTGATGCAAATTTTATTATTATTATTATTATTATTATTATTATTATTATTATATATACACTAAGGGTTTAGGGATAGAGTAGAGCAATATTTTAATAAGTTCAAAAAATAATAAAAAAATACAAATTAATTAATATTTAAATTTTTTTAATTTTCAAGAAAAGTTTGAAGTTGAAAATAGGTACATATATTTATTATTTTAAAGAAATTATTATTAATTTATAATGATGTTTAGTATTTAAATAATTAACTTTATATATGCTAGAGAATATAAACTTTAATAATAAACTTTTATTTATATAGTGTAGTAGGCATGAGATATTGATGGTGGCTACCATGTTGGAAGTATAAGAGGTCAGCCATGAGTCATTAGAGATATTAAAGTAAAAATAAATTTTATTCTAGCAAAGAAAGGATTACAACATCGATCAAAAAATAATATACATTAAAATACACCAAAAGATAGGAAAATAAAATAACCTAGATAAAACAGACAAATAAAGATGCAATAAATGAGTCAACGACGGACTTAGGGTGGAATCCCTTACAACCAACCCGCAGCCAGGTACGGACCATTCATTGGTAATAGCCACTCATCAACAACCCACACATGCAACCACCAAGCACAAGGGCACACCACCAAGGTTGCCAACAAGCCCAGGCCAAAAGGGAGGAAAGCAGGGGGCCGCCTCATCTTCGTCCAAAACGTCAATAAAGCCCACAACAACAAAAGCGAGAAGAAAACCCTAAACCTATTTCTTCTTAGATTTATTGTTCTGTTTTTTACCTCCGCCACTGGAACTATACTTATCATCATATACATTGTCATCAAAATCATCACCCTCCCCCAAAAAAGAAGTGGAAAGGGTCTCATCCAACTCCAGCCAATATGATTGAAACAAAACAGAGTTATTCAAAGGGCGAGATAGATGGGCTTTCAAATCTGCATTAGACATAATGGAAAAGGAATATCAACATACCCCCACATTCCCCTTCGATACATTCACAGAAAGAGACACAATTGACTCAACATTAACAGGTAAATAAGAAGCCAAATTAACAGTCAAACTTTCAACCTCCCGTGCCACAAGCTTCAAAGGAATATAGCCATCAAAAACAACCAACGCCTGGGATGGAGAACTAGGGAGATCCCCACCAGAGATATCCTACAAATCACCCGAATCAACTACAACAATCTCACAGGAATGGCTATCTAGAAGATTAAGACCACAATAGTTATCACTCAAATTTCCATTCACTCCATCACAACAAACAATCTCAGGCTGATCCGAAAGAGCAACAAAAGGATCAGGCTCCTTCACCACAATAATGGAATCACCAAAAGTTATAGCAGAGTTCAATGTCATAGCATTAACCCCCAAACAATCAGCAACACTCCCAACTACAACACCAACAGAACTTAAAATATTAGCAGCTTTAGCAATCTCCACCCTACAGGTATTAGGGGTGGTAGAAAAAGCCCCCTCCCTAACACACTATGGAGCCAGTTCCACAATGATAAGGGTGGAAACAACAGTGGTTGGGGAAGGAAATTTGTAGGAATATAAGGATCATTTAGAACCAAAGGAGGAGGGTCCACAACGAGAACATGTCTAGGAACCACAGGAGGCTTAACAGAAGCAACAGCCTGCCTCAAATGAGGAAATAGCTTAACACATTCAGACTTCTTACGCCCCACCACTTTATAATGAGGACAATAACTAGGAAAACATTCTTAAACAACTATCTGAATGTAGCCTAATTTCTCAGGACCAGGCCAAACCGAATCAAGATAAGTTTTAGAAATATCCATTTCCACAAGGATACGAACTACGGATGGCCTCGAACCCATAGAAATTGCAATATTGTCAGTATGAAGTGGACTGCCAAATAAAGACCCCAGACCAAAAAAGTATGCGAGGAGAAAATAGGTGTGGGCGAAGCTCCGGAAAGGAAATCCAGACAAGGACGATCAGAGAATTGGGGTTGTTGCTGTGGTGCCACTTTTTGGATTTCTAGACTTTGGATTTGGATGTCAATTTTGCTCTGGTTGTGACGATGACTGCTGGATTATTTCTTTCCTCTACTTGGAGTTGTTTTCGGGCAACTTGGGTTGCACTTGGTGGGGAATGCTCGTTGGGATGCTGCTCGTTGGATCGTTTGGCCATTAATTTGGGTGCTGTTATAATTGTTGGTGTTGATGCAGTTGCGATTTCCTTTATTTTCCTTTAATTTTTATCTTTAGCCTTTTCTTGTTTTGTCTTTTCTTTTCCTGTATTAGGTAGGATATAAAGCTCCTAAGTTTTATTTCAAATGTTGCTCTTTTAGTGACCTTCTAATCCTCTAAGAACATGTATTTTTTTTCATATTTAACGCATAGGCCCCGCCGTAGGTTCTCCCTAAAAAAAAATTATATGATAGTCATTCTCTTTATAGAAGAGGAGATCACTGACAAAGAAGGAGATCATCAATCTTCAAAGAGATTGCAGACGTCAGTATTAGTGTCACGGTAGATGTAGAACTTGTTGGAGATGACGGGAATTAAAGTTGACATTATTTCTGATTTTTATGATGGGTGTCAGCATTGCCATTGATAGTGTGCTTCAGCCTTATTCACGAGTTAGTAAGATTCCGAAACTTTGATTTTAGAATTGCAATAGGTGCTCTTAGAATTACCTAAAGCCTGTCAAGCTCACAGCAACACAAGAAGGTAATTGGTTGAGGCCTTATACAATCTATATTTAAGATCTCAATAGCAAACAATAATGTCTCACAATGCATAATATTACTAATTAGATCTCTCAATCATTCTAATTAAATCTTTCGATTTATCCAATAATCAAATCCAATTAATGTATCAATCAAATCTCCAATTAAGCTGTCCAAAATGAGGTCGATTTGGACAAATATTGTCAAATCAACACTTTTTTCTTGCAAAATATAAATTTCATTTGAGACAACTTTCTTATTTCTTTTTAAAGTAATTGTTTAATACAAAATTTTTAATTTAAAAAACGTTTATATTACGAAGCTGCTTAAAAAATTATAAAAAAGTTGTCTCAAACAAAACCATAACTATCTTGTAAATATGAGTTTATTATTATTATTATTATTATTATTATTATTATTATTATTATTATTATCTTATTCATTAGAAACAAACAAAAAGTATATAAAATAAATTGAATTTAATAACTTTATTTGGATTGACAAAAAGTAAAAGTAGTGAAATAACATCTCAATATGAATTAAATATAAGCTAATCATGAAATTATGACCGTTAATTTCAAATTTTAATACTTCAAATTTTTTTTTTCTTCCATTCAAACTTAGAGCTATATTTTCCATTATTCAGTTCACACTACCTTTCTTTTGCTTCCCGCCAATTATTGCCAATCTATAGCAAAGCAAGAAGAAACTAAATGCCCGAAAGCAGCAGGAAACTGCCTGAGAAGACATAAAGAGAAGAAAACTCTGTTGCTTTCTTCTGGATATTTTTATGTGGAAAATAAGGCCCATTTCACCAAACATTAAATGCCATTTCATCATCTTTTCCACCAAAGCTAACATCTTTTCCTAATTTCCTTCAAGGAGAAGACTACAGAGTGCGATCAGAGTCATCTCCTTCAATCCTAGGAAGCCGCGTTTCTCCTTTTAATCTCCCTCACCAGTGACCTTCCAATTCTATAAGAGATCAAGCAAGCAAAGCTGGTCTATCTTTCTACGATCAATTACTTCGAAGATCGAGAAAATGACAGAAATAGTAGCCACCAGCCTCCTCAGGTTTATCTCTGAAAAACTGGCATCAAAAGCTATTGCAGAGTTTGCAATGCAGATCGGCATCGACAAAGAACTTCGAAAGCTTGAAAGGACTCTTTCAACCATACAAGATGTGCTTGAAGATGCTGAGGCTAGGCAGGTGAAGGAGAAAGCTCTTAGGAGCTGGCTAAGTCAGCTCAAGGAGTTGGCTTATGATGCCGATGATGTGCTTGATGAATTTTCCTTCAAAGCGGCAAAATTGAAGAAAGCCAACATGAAGGAGAAGGTACGCAACTTACTTTGCCTCCCTAAGAACATTGCTTTTCAGCGTAAGATTGCACTGAGGGTGAAGGAGATCAATGAGAGATTGGATGAGATTGCAGAAGTAAGATCTAAGTTCCATCTCAAGGAAGGAGTATTTCGAAGCTTTAAGCTAGAAAGAAGCATTACAAGTGAAGAAACTGGTTCCTTTATAAAGGAATCAGAAGTTTATGGAAGGGAAGTAGATAAAGAGAAGATAGTAGAATTTCTCATGAATACTTCCGTTGGAGATGATATTGGCGTAATAGGTATTGTTGGCTTAGGAGGGCTTGGCAAGACAACACTTGCAGGGTTAGTCTACAATGATGAAAGGGTTTGTGGGCACTTCCAGAAGAGGATGTGGGTTTGTGTATCTGAGGAGTTTGAACTTAAAAGGCTTGTTAGATTGATTATAGAATCAGCAACAGGAAGTGAATTTTCTCCAATGAACATGGATGCAATGCAAAGATCCCTTATAAATCAACTCCAGGAGAAGAGATTTTTACTAGTTTTAGATGATGTGTGGAGTGAAAGTCATGAAAAATGGGATAGTCTCAGGGCTTTGCTTACAGTTGGTGCAAAGGGAAGTAAAGTCATAGTAACCACAAGGAATGAACATGTTGCATCCATAATGGGCACAATTTCTCCTTACCGGCTATCGAATTTGTCGTTCGATGATTGTTGGTTGCTGTTTGAGAGGAGAGCTTTTGGCAATGAGGTTGAGAGGAATCCAGATTTCGTTGCGATCGGAAAGGAGATTGTGAAAAAGTGTGGGGGTGTTCCTTTGGCTGCAAAAGCGTTGGGTGGCCTATTGAGATTCAAAAGAACTGAGAGTGAGTGGCTAGCTATCAAGGATAATGAGCTATGGAAACTTGCTTCTGATGAAAACTATGAGGTTTTACCTGCTCTAAAGTTGAGCTATGATCATCTATCTTCGTGTTTGAAACAGTGCTTCGCTTATTGCTCAATATTCCCCAAAGATTTTAATATAAATACTACCACACTGGTTAAGTTATGGGGTGCTGAAGGCTTCCTTGAGCCATCTGCAGGGCATATTCACTGGGAGCAAATTGGTTTGCAATGTGTGGAAGAGCTGCAGGCAAGGTCACTCTTTCAAGTGAACATGATAGAGCAAGGAGGCGTCATAACACAGGTAAAAATGCATGATTTAGTACATGATCTCGCTCAATCTGTTGCAGGTATTGAATGTTCAATCGTGGATGATCTCACTCAAAGATATCCTTCACAAAATTCACGCTATGTTTCTTTCATTTGCAATCAAAAGCCACTATCTGCAACTTTAGAATTGCTACGTGATGCAAAGAAACTGCGAACGTTATATTTGGATTACAGAAGAAATGTTGACAGAGAGACAGAACAGAGCGTCCAGGAAGTTCTTCATGTTATATCATCTGACATTAATCTTCTAAGAGCTTTGCACTTACAAAGTTATCCCTTAAAAGCTCTGCCACATACCTTCAAGAAACTCAGGCATCTAAGGTATCTTGATCTTTCTAGCACTCCTCTTGAAATCTTTCCACAGTGCATCAACACGCTACATAGCCTGCAAACACTTAACCTCTGCAATTCTGAAATCAAATCAATACCAGACTCAATCGGTGACCTTCACAACCTCTGTACCTTGAAAATTAGCCATTGCTTTAATCTTACATCATTGCCTGGTTCCATTGGCCGACTCAACTGCTTACGTGAATTAGACTGCTCTCGCACCAAAATAAACTCACTTCCTGAATCAGTTTGTACTCTCTCCAACCTTCATACTCTGGGGCTTGAAGATTGTTTTTTCATCCATGAGCTTCCACATAACTTGAGCAATATGAAAAGCCTTGTCAACCTCAACATACATGGATGCATTAATTTAACTTGCATGCCTATGAATCTCAGGAAACTGAAGCAACTTCGAACACTTCCAATTTTCATTCCTGGAGGGAAGAACAACTGCACCCTCAAAGAGCTGGGTAGTTTGAAACTTGAAGGTATATTGCAGCTGAAAAATCTTCAGAATGTGAGGTGCGTTGAAGAAGCCAAGGCCGCGCAATTGAGTGAAAAGCATAATATCAGGTCACTGAAGTTATCTTGGTTGTGCAATTCTTACATAAATTCAGTGGAAGCCTTCGATGAATATGACACCATTGTGGAAATTCTGCTTGCAGAAGATGTACTTGAAAGCCTCCAACCAAGCAAAAGCTTAGAAGAGTTAAAAATAGAAGGATATGTTGGAAGAGCTTTCCCTTCTTGGATGAACTTATCACTTTCAAATCTTGTCCGTCTCACACTAGCTTGTTGCGCTTGTGAAAAAATCCCAACACTTGGGCTGCTACCCCGCCTCCAAGTTCTTAACCTCGTAGAACTTCCTCTAGTCAAGCATCTAGGTTCTGATTTCTATGGTGGCGCCAATGCATTTTCTTCGTTGCAGGAGCTGGAACTAAACTGCTTGACAGATTTGGAGGAATGGTGCAGTGCAGCAGGAGAGAAATTTCTCCCTCGCCTTCACACACTAATTCTGCTGGACTGCCCAAAGCTGAAAGCTTTGCCCTCAGTTTTCTCATCAGTTGAAAATCTCATTATGAATGTGGACGATAAGCTGCTACTGTCTTCCCTGCAACATAGAGGATTTCCAAATCTGAAGCATTTAAAGATGAAAAACTATGATGATAAAGACCCGATCCCTGAAATAGTGACAGAGCGTGCCGAATGTCTCATTAGCTGGACGATGGAAACAAAACCAGAACCCAAGGAAGGTGATCCTACAACTATGTCTACTTTCAACTTTGGCATGGTAACTTTGAGGTTTGAAGAGGGAAAGGGCACAAAGCAAAGTGGATCCATTCCTCTGTTTCTAGGTAGATAGCAATGTTTTCTATAAATAATATAGCTATTTTATGTTATTTTTGCTTTAAGAAATGCGAAGTTATTCAGAAAGATCAAAGATAATTATGGTTCTTTTTTATTGTATTACATTCAAGCAATCAAATTATGTAACATCTAAATGTCATCAAAATGGAAGCATTATCATTCATGGCATTATAATTTGAAGATATCAGTGAACAAAAATAAATGGCATCTGCCACTATAATGTTATCTAAGGTTTCGTTTGGGACAGTTTCTATTGCTTCTTAAAATAGCTTTTTAGTTTAAAAATTTTAAAATTTTTATACTAAAAAACTACCTTAAGAAGCTGTAAGAAAACCGTGCCAAACAAAGCCTAAGAATATGAACATACAACAATTGTGATCTTTGTGTTAGTTGTATGTCAATTTGTATAGCATACAGTTGTTTTTAAAGTAGAATGAACAATATTTAAGAAATTGTTATTTCACATATCACTGAATCAAATAATTAGCATTTGCTAAGAGTTGGATGTTATGGTAAATTTCAGTGCACTAAATATATAACACCTTAATATTGGCTTTAAAAAGAAGAATGCACCAAATCATTTGGCGTATTCACCTCGGCCAACCGAATTAAATTTTTAAATTAATGTAGCAATGCGCCACGTAGTTTGACACATTCAATGGAATGCGCCAAACAGAATGACACATTTAATTGAATGAACCAAACTCTTGCTTATTCTGAATACACCAAACAATCTGCTTGCTGCATTCAATGGAATGCACCAAAGTGTTTGACTTTGTTTCTTTTTAAATTTTTTGTAATACACTGTTTCTATTCCAAATTTAATTAAACATCATGCTCTTTCTTAAATAAAATTCTTTATATATCTTATACTTCAATCATTATATTTATTTAGATAACACTTTGATATTTAAATCCTAACAAAAATATCATTAATATTATTAATCTTTATAAATGAAATGCATCATATTTTCATTTAAAATATTATATAAATAAATATTAAAATTTAGATCTTAGCTATATAATTACATAATAATCATGTGATGTGCATTTAAATCCCTCTAACACAATATGGATATCTACAACAGATATTTGCTGAAGTTCAGTTAATCATAATTGGCCTCTAATTCTTATTCCTCATAAAAAATTCTGCTGAATTGGATGGTTCACTTTCATTATCACTGACTTTGGCATTAGAAGATGAAAAAGATCCTCAGGTTGAGCACAATCGAGCTTAAGATTTCATTTGGGACAACTTCTTTGCTGCTTTCTAAAACAGCTTTCTAATACAAAATTTTCTTAAAAAAGAAAATTTTGTACTAAAAAATAGTTTTATAAAGTAGCAAAAAAACTAACCCAAATGAAGCCTAAGATGTGTTTTGCATGTGTATTATTGTATGTTATGCACAGAAAAATATAAAACAGAGGAACTATAAGCATAATATGAAGCTTGCAAAGGCATTGATAATATGAGAGGCTCAGGCAAAGATAGTTTTTTTTTTTTTTTTTCATTTGAATAGAATGAATACTAACGGTAACAAATTACATCCTACTATGACAAATCAATGAAAAATTATAAAGCATTGCTCTTTAAGTAAAAGATCTATAAGATAAAGCTAAAAAATTGAAATAAAACATCTAAAAGATTAAAGTTTCATTTGGAATGACTTTTTTACTGCTTCTTAAAGCAACTTTTTAGTATAAAAATTAAAAATATTATACTAAAAAACTGTTTTAAAAAACAGAAGTAAAAAATTGCCTCAAACGAAGCCTAAAATCATAAACCCAATTCAAGCAACTAACAAAACTTCCTCCATAACATGCCCTTGTGCCATAAAAGAAGAACTTTTACGTCACCATCACTTAGCTGTCAATATCTTGACAGCTGAAGCATTACAAATACGGTGTAATGCCACAATAGAATCACCAGACTTGCAGAGTCCGGTTGCCTTCGCATGCCGAAGAGCAAAGTCAAGCGCTTCCTCTGTTGCTTCAGTATGAGAAGGCTTTGCTGATCCTTCACTTAATACTGGAATCACTCCTCTATAAACAAGGCTGTGCCTTGCCGGAGCTTCGTCGCTGCAGTACCAGTCGAAAGAATCACTATTTATCTTTATCTCAGGAACCACCACAGACAAGATGGGCACTTCTGGCCTGTACTTAGCCACTAGTTTTGAAGCAGTCCCTCCTCTCGTCAGTACAAGAATAAGAGCAGCTCTGACAGACCCTGCAAGTCGAACGGCAGACGAAGCAAGGCTCTCCAATGGAGTACATGGCGACTCTGTTACAGCCGTGAGTGCTTTAAACACAGCGTAATAATCCACAAATGATTCTGCTTCCTCGCATATCCTTGCCATAGTCTCAACAGCAAGAACAGGGTAAGCACCCGCAGCTGTCTCGCCGCTGAGCATGACACAATCAGTGCCATCAAGAACAGCATTGGCGACATCTGTAGCTTCTGCTCGGGTGGGACGAGGAGACCTGATCATAGATTCCAGCATTTGGGTTGCAGTCACCACTGGCTTCCCTTGAACGTTGCATTTGTGGATCATTAGCTTCTGCGCAAGGAAGATTTTCTCAATTGGTATCTCCATGCCCAGGTCTCCTCTGGCCACCATGAAAGCATCAGAATTTTCAAGTATATCATCAAAATTCGCCACCCCTTCTTGGTTTTCAACCTGTATATTAAAGCCAATTGGTTGAAGTTTTGATTTTGGAAGTAAAGTTTGAATCTTTTTTGCTACCAGCATCGCGTACCTTCGACATAAGCATGACAGACTTTGCATGATCACCCAGAAGCTCTCTAACTGCAACCATGTCAGAACCTTTTCGAACAAAGGAGAGGGCGATAATGTCGATTTTGTTCGGGATGCCCCATTTGAAGATATCTTCTTTGTCTTTCTCAGTTAAGGTGGGAAGATCAACAACAACTCCTGGAAGATTTACGTTCTTTCTCTCACCGAGAACAGCAGCATTTTCGCAGCGGCAGTGAACTAGACCATGCTCCTTATCGCAGCTTATCACATTAAGTGAAATTGTGCCATCAGAACAGAGGATGATACTTCCAGGTTTTACATCCTCCGCCATTTTCTTGTAGCTCATTGATATCATGGTTTGGTCACCCTCTATACTATAATCTGTTGTTATGGTGATCTCTTGATTTTTCTCAAGCTTTATGGGCTTTCCATCTTTCAAGAATCCTGTTCGGATCTCAGGTCCCTACAGTTTTAACATTGTGATCAAAAGGGAGAAACCAAACGATTTAGAAATGAAGAAGATAATGAAAAGGGGGAAAAAGGTGCGACCTTTGTATCGAGCATTACAGCGCAGAGTATTCCTGTTCTTTCCATGGCAACCCTAAGATTATCTAGGGTTTCCTGATGGTACTCATGGGATCCATGGGAGAAATTGAATCGCGCGACGCTCATTCCGGCCCTAAGCAATTTCTCGATCATCTCAATCGATCGCGATGCAGGGCCGAGCGTACAAACGATCTTCGTCTTTGGCCTTCTCATCACTTTATCTTCCGCAACGGGGCTGAAAATCTTCGACGTCTCCATTGTTCACGATCTCAAAGAACAAATAGAGGAGAAAGATGAGATCTTTAATGGGAAGCTTGATATATATAGGGAAAGAGAACCGTTTCTTGAAGTCTGTTGCAGGACGACGGGAAGAAGGGTAGTTATTTTTGTTAAGAGAAACAAAAATTTGCTAAATTTTTGAAAAGTTCCGCGTACAATAAAAAATAGAAAGAATTTGTTGAGAACATTTTAATCAAAATGTTTTGAAACTCTTTAAATTTTTTTTAAGAAGAGTCTAATAAAAAAAATACGTATTCAAAAGCTTATGCAATAAATTTTCAATTTTCATTTAATGCAGGGTTGATAATTTATGAATGTGAATAAACTTTTGGCCATTAAATTTGATTTAAATTTATGGTATATAATTACAAAATACTCAAATCTTTGAGATCAAATTACTTTTAATTTTTTTGCTTTAACACTATTTTATTCCAAAAAGAAACCGTGGGGACCGATCGGAGCAAATATAAATGGAACCTCCTTATTTACTTAGATAACACTTAAAGTTTTAATTATCAATAAAAAAGACCACTTAACCCCAAACATCGTTTAGTTTATGTCTCAGTTGTCTTGCATGTGTTCTCATGACGTCAATCATGTCGTTGTTGTCACCTTCGCACATTGCTGGTCCCGTCGCATTGGTCGCACATTGTTATACATACATAGCTCACTAAGGCAAAATAATGATGATGTCAACACACAGAAAAGAAAGTCATGATGGAACTCACTAGGACAAGGCATCGATGACTTAGACGTAGGAAGTAGCAATGGTGCTCACTAGGGCAACACATTGATTGCTTAAAAAAAAAAGTCAATGGAGATTGTTAGGGCAAGCTAAAAGAGATAAAAATGTGTTGGATTATGCAATTATTGGAATTTATATGTTTTTTATTTTAATTTTTTTTTATTTTTTTTGGAATTTATATGTTAAATGAATAAATAAAAAAAGTTTTGATTGTTATGTATATAAATCCTTGAATAAAATATTAAAATTTAATAAATTTGGAGCATCAACTCAATGAGATACAGACAACAAAAAAGCTTTTATCCCTACACACGGGTCGACTATATGAATCTTTCTTTCCTATTATATCCTATTAAGAATGAAATTCTCATTTCATTTGGGATGGCTTTCTTCCTGCTTCTTAAAGAGTCTTTTTAGTACAGAAAAATTTAATTTTTTATACTAGAAAGCCGTTTTAAGAAGCAGGAAGAAAAGCCGTCCCAAACAAAGCCTAAATTTGATAAAAAAATCATTTTAATGCTTTCTAACAAAGGATTTATAAGACTACATCTATCTTTGTTAACATAGGCTGAATCTTGTGAAATCCCGCTAGCGGGATACAGAACAGAGAGAAAAGAGATAGAGGGGAGAACCAGGCATGAAGAAATAAAAGCCGTATTCGATTATCTCTAATAACTATTACAGAGCTTGCTTATATAGAGGTTACATACAAGAAACTAAAGATAGTACAAACGGTAAGTAGAGGAAAGCCAATAAGCTTTTGACAGGTGCCTTAGCATTCTCCCTCAAATTAATCATGATGTGAGCGAATGGTTAATTTGTTCCTGAGATTTTGAAATTGTTTCAACGGGAGAGGTTTGGTGAGTATGTCTGCGACTTGGTCGGTTGAGCTGATGTGTGCGGCATGTATATCTCCTTTCTTGATGTGCCCGCTAATAAAGTGATAGTCAATTTCTATGTGTTTGATATGGGCGTGAAATGCCGGATTGTTGGCAAGTGCGATGGCGGAGGTTTTGTCGAAGAAGATTGTCGTAGGAGCGATTTGAGGCGTGTGAAATTCTACCAGTAGTCGACGAAGCCACAAGATGTCGGACATGGCAGAGGATGGTGACTTGTATTCCGCTTCAGTAGATGATTTTGCAACTGTATTTTGCTTCTTGGCAGACCAGTAAATTAGGTTCGGACCAAGGAATGTGCAGTATCCAGTAGTAGACTTCCGATCGGTAGGATCGGCCGCCCAATTTGCATCCGTGTATGTGTGAAGTTGTAGATCACCTTGGGTGATTGGTAAGCCGAAGTTGAGGGTGCCTTTTATGTAGCGTAGTAGTTGCTTGAGTGCATGAAAATCACAATTGCGGGGATGGTGCATTCGTTGACAAATTGTGTTTGTTGCAAAGGCAATGTCGGGTCTTGTGATTGATAGGTACTGTAATGATCCTGCTAGTTTATGTAATAGAGTCGGATCGGAGAAGTCTTGTTCATCCTGCTGGATGCCTGCTTGCAGTCGAAGAAACCTGCGAGTTGGAGAAGTTCATTTGCATAGAGACTTTGAGTTAGAAAATAGTTATTGGAGTTTTTGATCACCTGGATCCCAAGGAATAAAGATACATCGCCGAGCTGCTTCAAGTTAAACGCAGAGTGGAGCTGGCTAAGTATTTCTTGGAGCTTGATGTTGTTGTTTACGGTAATTAGAATGTCATCTACGTAGATGAGAATGAACAGTTTGGTGTCGTTGTGTGATAGAAGAAAAAGTGACGGGTCGGCTTTGCTGTGAATTAAGCCAAGCTATTGTAGAAAGGATGTAAACTTCTGAAACCATTGGTGCGGGGACTGCTTTAAGCCATAGATTGATTTATGTAGTTTGTACACGTTGTGAGGATGTTGAAAGTCTTCAAAGCCAATGGGCTATCTCATGTAGACTTCGTCGAAAAGATCGTCGTGTAAGAAAGCGTTGGAGACGTCTAGCTGGGTGACTGCCATTGATTGTTTGTTGCTATGATGAGTATGAGATGAATTGTTACCATTTTTGCGACAGGGCAAAATGTATCGGTGTAGTTGACACCGAATTGCTGTGAGAAGCCTAGGGCTACTAAACGGGCTTTATAGCGTTCGACGTCGTCGTTGGGTTTGAGTTTGGTCTTGAATGTCCATTTGCATCCAATAATAGGTTTGTTTTTAGGAGGTGACACAAGGGACCATATGCCCTGCCGCTGAAGATCTAAGTATTCTGAAGACATTGCCGCTCTCCAGTGTTTGTGTTTGGACGCTTGAGCATAAAACGTAGAAGAGTGTGTTGTTGTAACAGCCAAGGACAGATCAAATATCTTTTTCGGTTTTGTGATGCCGGATCGTAGTCTAGTTTGCATAGGGTGTTGAATAGGGACATTGCTACTGGTTGATGGTTCCAGGTTACTTATGGTGATGTTGTGGGATGTAGAGGTTGACTATTCGGGTGGCCGAGTGGGTGCAGTAGGAGGGATGTGCTGCATAACAGAAGGAGGCAGAGTGGATGTAGGAACAAGAGTTAGAGGAGAACATATTGTGGGTTTAGGTGACGGGATGGGAGCTGCAAGTTGTTGTTGAAATGGAAAATGATTTTCGTAGAATTTTACATGTCTTGATATATAGAGCCGATTGGTTTGGACATCCAGACAGCGATAGCCTTTGTGCTGTGTGGAATAACCCAGAAAGACGCAGGCTTGAGATAGAGGTGCGAGTTTATGTTGAGCATAAGGTCGAGTCCACAGAAAACAGAGACATCCAAATGTGAGGAGGTGAGTGTAAGTTGCTTGGTGACCGTGAAAACAGGAATAGGGAATTTTATTTTTAATGGTTGAGCACGGCAAGCAATTTATAAGATAGTTAGCCGTTGAAATTGCCTCAGCCCAAAAATAGGGTGGGAGGTGAGTGGCGTGAAGAAGAGAACAAGTTAGTTCCAGGAGATGTCTATGTTTTCGTTCGGCGACTCCGTTTTGTTCCGGTGTGTGAGGACAGGTTATTTGATGAACAATGCCATGTTGTGTGAGATAGTTTCGAAACACATTGTTTGTAAATTCACCGCTGCCATTCGTTCGGAGGGTGTGAACAGTGGTGTTGAAGGTATTCTTTATTAAATTTTGAAAGTGCTGAAACTATTTTGATTAAAAAATATCATTTAAGTATATATAGTTTTGAAAAATATTTAATTATCTTTGGGGATATTTAATTTTTAAAATTTTGAAATTGAATGCGTCATTATGAACAGTATATCACCTCGGGAGGTGATCATATCGTTCTCTAACGAGTTCATATTTTAAAATTTTAAATTCATCCGAATTATCGTAGTCAAACTCAAGGAGGAACGACATATGATCTCGTAAGATCAAAATGACGTTCAATCAATTGTTTAACTATAACAATTCGGATAAGAGATCATTAATTTCATAATCAAAATAATGATAATAAAATAATATATCTT